AAGTAATTCATTATAACCTTTATTTCATAGATGCATAAGGTGTATTAAGCACCTTCCAGTTAAATTCATTGAATAAGGAGTATGGAGATGATTGTTTTTTTTTAATAAAAGTTGTATATTGGTTATAAAAGTTTTAATATGCGCTATACACATTATTCTAGATAAACAGTTTAATAAGCCCATTTCTTTCAGTGTATGAAAGACGCCTACTATGCGAAAATGTTAAAAAAAGTTACTGTTCTGAGCCGAACATTATTTAAAAAATAATTATTTCCCACTAAACTAGGCAGAATTCCAAAAAAACTAGATATATTTTTTCTTCAAAAAAGTCCAATTCATTAAAAAATAATATTATTTGCTTGATAATCCAAAGGAATAAAAAAAATTCGAAAAATTTCTGTTAAGAGTAATTACAAAACTATCCTTATTTATAACCGATTTTGATGAAAATTATGGTAGTTAAAGACCCTTATGGTATGATTATTACCTACAATTTTCATTCCGTTATCTTAATCAGAAAGAAAGTTATTTTGATAAATATCCAAATGATAAGACCCCTTTGGAGAGCCATATCTCAGTAACGGTGCTCCGGAGGACCAATGTTTATAGGAACTGTTTTTACTATTTTTGGCTCTACTTTCACCCCCTTAAATTTTGTACCAACTTTTCCAAACACCCTGTATAATTAAAATAATCTTTACTTATACGTTGCTTTGACCTATGCATTAAAGTACAGAACAACCCACAATCAGTTTCATTCATATAAGTTTTCTATTTTTTGAGAAATTCTATTTTTTCTTTAATAACAATAATAGTATTTTTAGAAAAATAGAAATGGAACTTCTTATTCACAATTTTCTTATTGACGTAATGAGTTAATAGTTAATTTTCTCGTTAAATGTAGATAAAGATTCTTTACCGTTTTTGTTCATAAAAAGGTCACGCCAACTGATATTTTCCAAATTATTGTTGATTATAAAGTGGGGTATAAATCAGCGATTTAATTACAGCAGAAGAGAAAATAAATTCCTTTGAAATTTGTAGTCCACTTTTGATACGTGAAGGAGGACAACTGTGGCCTTCGTGTTATTTAATGTTTTATTATTGTTAATTAATACCTATTACTTATCTGCAGATAAGATTATTTTTCTGTTATAGCTTCAATTAACATCCCGTCGTAATCGCAAATTAAAATGAAACTACTACTCACTCAAGTATGAGTTTGACGAATATAACGAGCGTTCAAATAAAAACGTGGTCGAAGTTGGCTCTGACACATTGGACGTAGGGCGTAGCTTATAGCGACCAACTTAACCTCATTTCTCAACGAGCTGTATAGCAGCTGTCAGTTTCAATAACAAAGCGGCGATACAGCGCTTTGACAGATGACGTTTAAGTTCATTTGCTATACGCTACGCCCTACGTCCAAATTTTCAGAACCAACTTGACCACGTTTTTATTTGAACGTTCGTTACAAGTTGCGTGAACCGTTTACTTGGATAATTTATAAATGCGCCAAATACACGTTTATTTATTTTTTAAGATATTTGCACATTTGCATGTTACATTTTTTAAAGAACTTCAACACTATGTAGCTCGAAAATTAGATCGTTTAGTGCATGTGTCCATAGGGCGTTTTTTCTTAGAATAAAATAATAATATTACATCAAATATCTCTGAGAATATTTTATTGAGATTGATGAAATTTTGGAAATACCGGGAGCCACTGTTATTGGCAACCTTACAATTTTTACAGCACTGAGTTTTTTTAGAAAACTGAACAGTTCATGTGATTCGTAATTGTATTCCAAACACGAAAAATATTTTCCATACAACCGAAAAACAAGTTAAATGTGACAGATTTATGTTCTATTTGTCTACCTTCCATAGAGTTTTAGAGGCTTTATGTTCATATACTGTATTTGACTGTACTATTCAGAAGGAGGGACATTTTGATCTTTATATTTTGAATCGATGGTTGTTGCTGATGCCTATCCTTGTGAAAACTATTTATTAACTAATTTAAATTCTTTATATTCTTTATAAAGATCACATTATAAAATGTTAGATGTGAAACGAGATGTGCAAGTATACCTATAACATTATTTATTACTTTGCTATCATAACTTCATCTCTAATTATAAATTTAATATACCTTCTACACATTTTCAACAGATAAATTAAACTGGCTGGCGTGATAAATAGTAAGCATTCTTTGTTATTATTAATGTTAAATCTGGATCGGAGATTTTCCAGTGCGTCATTATGTAAATGTAAATAACATATTTTGTCAAATAGTTCTAAATATTTCTATATTACTAGAAATATAATAATACGATATTTTCCGAATAAAAAAACAAATCTATAAATAAAAGATAGTTGCTATGTAAAGAATTTTAAAAAATATTTTATTTTGAATGAGTTATTATACAGAGATATTTATTGTTCAGGATTTAAGTAGTTATTATTTTCAATTTATAATCCGATTATAATGATAATGAATACACAAACTCAAATTAAAGTTTTTATTTAAAGATATGACAAATTACACACAAGTCTCATGTAAAGGTTTTTTACCAATTAATATGTATTTTTATGAACATTACATACATTTTTTGGTATGCGATAATATTTTAGTTGTTTTAACATTGTCCTCCACAGTAGATTTTTTTTAAATACCAAAAACTGACTTATTAAAAAACCTCGCACAGGTAAATTCACTTTGATTCTTCGTTCCTGCCTTCCTTCACAATTTATGATTAGTCAGAGTATCTTCTGTTATTAATTTGTGAACCTATAAAAATTGTTATCGCTATTGTTTGATAAAAATTATTGGAAATGAATGTTAGGATTAGGATTAAATATATGAAATGGGACAATAATCATTTAAATTAATTAGATATTAATTTTGCTTCCGTATTACTACATTAATGTTCTTGAAAAACAGGTATGGTTAATACATTGAACTCCATGAAAATATTTGTTCTGTAAACACGCTCATTTAAATACCATTTAAATCACATCATGATGTTATATATAAATGTTTTAACCGTCTAAAAAGGATAACATATGATTAACTATTTATCTTCATACCAAGCTTTTACAATCATAGCTTGAAATATAATCATTTTCTTATATTACTTACTTTTCATTTCTTGTCAGTATTTTAGAAGGTATTGATTTGTAAATAATTATTTTAACTTTACTGCTTGAGAATATTTTATAACATGCGTTGTATATTTATATACATTTTTATTCATTTTTCACCGAAAAACTGTAGTGTGATATGGAATATTTAGACTGCTAAATGTGGAATACAAGAAAACTAAATAATATTAGATCAGGTTAATATGGTTAATATTGCCTACTACAATGTTAAAACGAATGCTATTCCATATTAGCAGTTGAAGGTCTTTCTTTGATTAGTATTTCTAATGTCAAATACAGGGTGTTTCAATTAAAACTTCCTACCTGGAAAATATCTAAATTAAAAAAAAAAACAAAAAACCTGAGATACGTCGACTTTCTTTTCAAGGGGGACACATGAAGGCGTAAGTTTTGGTGTCTTGGTAGCTACTCCTTAAGCAGAGGTGTAAAATATCCATAATATTTAAATGGCACCCTATGTTGAGTGACATCTCATTTTAAAGCTGTTTCAAGTCTGCTCACGATAGGTATCACTCAACATAGGGTGCCATTTAAATATTAAGGGTATTTTACACCTCTGCCTAAGGAGTAGCTTCCAAGACATCAAAACGTACGCCTCCATATGTCCCTCTTGAAAATAAAATCGACGTGTCTTAGGTTTCTTTTGTTTTTTTAATTCCGATATTTTCCAGGTGGAAGTTTTAATTGAAACACTCTGTATACATATTACGTACTTAATATAATTATAAAATAAAATGCGAATCCATATTAGTAATTTTTAAATGTTCTTAACTTTATTTTAAGAGGAAGAAGGTACTACATTTATACAGGCCTTACGTTTAAGTCTGTATCTTTAATAATAACTTGCCTATAAATTTGGTTTGCTGCAAAAAATGTGCAGTATCTGCAGCCGCGAGAATATACTTAATTATTATTATTATTATTAAAATTATTGTACAGTAGTATAGGTACCTACAGAATGGTTTAAATAGTCGGCAACATCATAATGCGAATACACTAAACGTTGCGAAAAGTAGAATAATTAATTCGTTTTTAATTTGCATGATTCTTATCTGAGAAGTAGGTACAGCGTTGTAATATGTGGTACAGCATATTTTTTACATTTTGAAGTTCGTACCTACGTATTCATTTGGAACAGCTAACAATAGGAACAATATATTGCACAATTTTTAACTAACACATCGTAGTGTAAAATAATGGATTCATTAATAACTATTGTATTAGAATTGCGAAAATTTGGTAGGCCTTGTTTTCATTTTTTATCTAAAAATTGAACGCACATTCAAAGATTTATCGCAAACAGAGTTGAGCGTGGGTGGGTGTAAGAAATCCATCCCTAGCATTTCACACCCCAGATATAAGTGAGTGTATTCACTACCTTGCAGTTAAAGATATAAAGTGAATCAAAGTACGACAATGAAAGTGGCGGTAAGTGCACTTATGTAACTATAATGTAGGAATATTGACGATGATATGGCTTCATTTCGTGTGAGGCTTTAAGTGTAGATTGTCTTCAGTCATGTTTTAATTATAGCGTGATCTTACCCCGTTGATAGATTATGAAATGTTTGAGGTAAAGATATTATTTTATATTTATTAAATGAGTAAATTCAGCTTGTATTTTCCGTAACAAAGCATTTTTTTAATATTTGGGACTGGGCAAAAGTAATTCTTTTAGTTATTGTAGTTGATTTATTAAAATTTGCGCAGACATTTATTGTTATTTGGGTATTTTGCCACTTGTGATAAAAATACAAAATTAATTAAATATACCCCTACGTTAAAAGGCTCTACCAAGGATTATTTTTATTAAACCATTTTTGTCTAACTGAAAAATTCCACACAGGAAAAAGTATTTCAATGTTCAAAAATTCAATCTTTTTTCGTTATCAAAACTGGGAATAACGCTTTTTAAATTAGTTTTTAGAGTTTATATTTTTTTGTTTATTTGCTTCCATTTGTTTAATTATTTTTTAATTTTTTTCTCTGGTAGCAAATAATAAAAGAAAAACTAAAACCATGCCGCAAATAAATAACTTTCGACAATTGCTTAGATATTAATAACAATCTTTATAAATAAAACTGTGGAGTTTATGCCTATGATTCTTTACAAAAATTTAAAGTATTGGCAAAAGGTTTAACTTAATGAAATATTGACCTCTATAATTTGAACAAATTGAAAAGGGACAGTTACCAAGCACTTAGAAACATGATTTAAAGTAGGTACAATACATTCATGAAAAATCCTAAAATAATCCTTATTTTTGCGGACTATTCACTAGTGCACTGAATTTAAAATTGTATTTCTACCAAGAAAATCCTATGATTTTTTTTTTGCTAAATAATAAATCTAGATGTACTGAAGTACTTATAATGTAAACTATAAAAATACTTTTTTAATAAAAGATGTCTAATACGGATTAGAAGTAGGTGTATTTTCAAAGTGAAATCAAAAACGTTGCACTACGAAAATTTTAATTTTAATATGAACTATAGCAAACTACATATTCTCGAAGGTTCAAAAATAAGTTTTCTAATAATCACAAAGACTAGGAACTATGATTTTAATTTAAAATATATTTCAAGTTAAATTTATTGAAAACAGAATAATTAATTTTCGAGTGAACTTTAGATTTATTTTGTATCTCTCTAAATAACAAGTTATATGCTCTTGCGGAAAAGTAAAACAAAAATTAAAATTAATTAAAAAATGAGTCAAAACAGCCGACTGCTATTTTGACAGATACGGTGGTTAGAGGCATCGGTTTTGGTCTAAAATAAATAGCGACACCCTCAAATCCCAAAGATAATTAGCCGCCCTGTACAATATTTCAAAGGGGAAGGTCATTTGTATATCAGTGTATCTATGTACCGGATCTAATATAATAGCACATAATAGTATCGTAAACTTGTTTTGTTGAATAACTTGGGAGTCACTAACCTGCAAACGTTATTTCTGAAGCATTTTAAAATACTTGTCTTTTTATAATGAAAAATAATAAAATATATTGAATGCTACAATAATGTATTTTAGGTAGATAATAACTTTTTTTAAAGTAAATATGAATAATTCAGAAATTTATGTTGGCAAAACCTTAAATACCTCTATCGAAAAATGGAATCAAACAATTTAAACTTTGTAGATTTTTGACATATTAGTCATATTATTCACAGCAATAAAGAGGAAGAATAATGCTATAAAACCACGAAGCAAAGACAAACTAATAAATATGTGTTATCATTAAAGGTGAGATAGATAAGAAAATTAAACAATTCTACGCTTTTCACTGTTGACCATGTTGTATTAAAAATCGTATTTATAATACAATATTAAAATATATTTTATTTTATTGGTTATTACTGATTTATCCAGCACTGCGGTGAGTTTACTTTATTTTAAACAAAACAAAAACTCGATTAACTAGATACTTTTTTTCTATAGAACGTAATTAATTATACATCAAAAACACTGATAGCTGAATTTCCAAAATAGTCAGAAGTCAGAAGTGGTTCTAAGATTTTTAATACCAGTGTCTCCCAATGTTTCGGACAGTGGAATGCGTAATTTTTTTCTTTACCTAGTCATCAAATATTTGCAGAAATATTTTCGAGAATGTTTCGAAAATTTGAAGCTTGAAAACTTGGCCGTCGATTCATTCAAAAAGGCTTCTTAAGGAATCTTTGACCTGCCCTTGTGTTCTCGGTCTAGATTTTGTGGTAGCTATCAGAATCTCTAGGTCCACCCTGATATTGATTTCGGTTCTTGTTGGTTCTACGATATTCCCTAGTGGCCTCTGTGATTAATCGCAGACGATGCTTCCAAACGTTTCAAAGTTCTTCATTATACTGTTCTATTGTACCGTATACTGTTCTACAAGCAATTGCGCTTGTATGCAAGTTTATATTTGATTTTGAAAATTTCTCTTCGAATCGTACGCCATTGTGACGTACTAGATTATGAATGTTTTATTATGAAAAACATTTTATTGAAGCAACTCCTCTCTGTCACTCAATTAGTAAATAAAAGGAGGAGGACAGTGACATGATATATTAGTTGAACTCCTTATTAACAGATGCCGTATTTAAGTCACGACCGTCCGCCAATTCATTTATCTTTTATATTATTTTATTGCCAGATAAATGATGAATGTAACTATGTAAGTATTTCGGTGTTCCAAAAAAACATATTTATACATAATATTACAACTAAGTTTTCAATAAAAGGGAACAATTAATGTACACAAATCAACAGAATTTAAGTGTATCGCATGTATTGTAAATGCTAATTAAGTATATGGATAATATAATATATAATATTATATAAATGTAAGACTTTTAAGCACAAAAATTATTGAATTATAATTATAATGAAAATGTGTATAGCCATTCTTTTTAGTGTACCTACATTTACTAAAAGCCCTTTCACATTGAAATATTTTAAACGTAGATTTTATTAGTTTACTGTAAAGACGCACCTATATATGTTTTTCTTGTTAAATACCAAATTAATTTAAAATATCAGAGTATCACGATCAAATAACTTAATAGAATAATAAATCAAAAAGCATCGTCATTGCATACCAACAAATACATCTTCTGTCGCTAGGCGAACTATCTAAGAATATTTAATGGCAAAAATAAATTATATTCATATACATATATAATTCTTTATACTAATGCAAATTGTGCCCTAGCTGGAATTTCTTTAAAAATATTAATGATATGTATGACACGAATAGACAATCAAAAAATTTATTCAGAGATAAGAAATAAAGCTAGTAGGCTTTATAATTTATTTTTAAGGTTATGAAAAGAATGTAATTTCACTTTATTTATGACTTCTTGAAAGTAATTAACCAACAAGCAATAATATGTTTTTACAGAAATGAATTAGTATCAGATAATAACTTTTACAATGCAATTAAACTTGTAGGAATGCACTAAGGATTATTTAATTGGGTTTTTGCTATACTAAAATGAATAAAAAAATGTACTTATTAAAATAATTTGAAGTAAACAAGGATCTAAGGAGATATAGGTATCTTAGTGAGGATAAGATAAAGTCATAAATTCACTGAAAACAATGACACATGAGATTTCATTATAAAAATATTGCAAAATATGCCAATTTTTTAAATGTTTTCTTACTTTCTATAACACAACCAAGGTACTTGTTTTACGAAAATTGTCCCTCTTACTTATACCTACCGAAATTTCTCAAAAACGGTTTGACTTATAAAAATTAAACAAGAGTGTTAATATTTTTCAAACATTTTGTAGAATGAACAATAAAATCATTGGGTACGAAATAGTAATAAGTTAGCTTCTTAAAACTAGGTAACATGTGAAATGTGAATAAATTGCATGCACTGCATAAATTAGTTCTCCGATACCTACCTTAACTTTATAAACAATAATAAACTTTTTTTGGGAGAGGGTAATATCCATTGTCCATTTTTGACAAAAACATATCCTGAAACTATCGGAGGACAATTTAGGAAACCCTGTATATTAAATTAATTTAAAAACATATCTGCAAAGGCATTATCTTGCTATTATATTTCGTAAACTTACATGACATATTAATGATAGCTTTGACGTTTCACAATAACAAATTTTAACTTAACCTCAACCGGATTGACGTGGCCGTTTACATATTTTTCGTAATTTCTCGAAACTGATATAGATTTCTAAGAACATTATAGAACAATATCTACGCTTCTATGAACAAAGATAGAAATATAACATATTCTAGAAACATCATGAAACAAATGTATAAACAGAGCACACTCTTAAAGATGATTGTCCTGATCAGCGATCATAGTCCTCTTCGCCGGGTGCTTGATATTGGACCAAACGATCCAGGTTAACGACTTTTCTCTCTGGGCTCTCTATAGATCTTGTAGACTATGTCGTTGATCCTCTTGATTACCGTATATGGTTGTTCCTAGAAGATTTTCCTTTCTTCCTTATTGGCTTCTACAACCATACTAGATTCCGTGTTCAGAAACCACTGGTGTTGGCTCTGGCATTGTACAGTGTTTTCAACCAATCGCTTTCAAAATTCATTTTCTGACGGACTTTGTCATGAATGGTATCAATTCTTTCTACTACTCGGATAGGTGTCTTCCGGTGTGTCAGTTCAATCTTCTGGATGGCCAAAAACAATGTTGAGGTCAATTATTTACCGAAGATTATGTTGGATATGGATTCTTCCAGTAGACTCATGGGCTGTTGAACAATAGACCAATAGGAAAAGAGGCACATGTCGGTCCCAATCGGTTTGATCTTCATTGACGACTATTCATAGGTGATTTGCCAGGTCCGGTTAAAAAACGCTTCATGCCGTTGGTTTGTGGATGCAGGAGTGTTGTTGTTCTGGTCTTTTTGATATTCATTACCGATTTAAAATTTGGCCCTTCATCAGTTTGCAATTCTCCTGGAAGGCTGAATCCGCAGAAGAGGTTTTCAATGAGAACTTCTGCTACCATCACTGTCTCTTGATTAGGGATGGGATATTCTTTTGTTTACTTATTTAAGTAATTTATCGCTAACGGGAGGTAACAATTTCCA